TTTTTTTTTTTAATTAAATTCCCTCCATTCTTTTCCTCTGTAATGGTTGTTCTCTCCTTCCCCCATTTATTTATTCTCTTAGCTTTCTCCTCTTCATGTGTGTCCCTTTCTCTCTCTCAGATAAAAGAACTTTTCTTTTTTCCATCTTGTCTTCTCACTCTCTCTAATCTCACCCACATGTCCCTCTTGTCTCTTCTCCTTTGTTTCCCTTTTTCTGTCCACCCTGCCCGTTGTGCAGTTGTCATCTCCCCCCATTCTCCCCTTAGGCAACAGGGGATGGATCACTTGATGATTACCTGTTCTGTTCATTCCCTCCGAAGCACCTGGCACTGGCCACTGTCAGAAGACAGGATAGTAGGCTAGATGGACTGTTGGTCTGACCCAGTATGGCCATTCTTATGTTCTTGCTGAAATCTTCATATCCTCTCTTTAAAGGGCTAGAATCACAGGAATGTAGGACTAGAAGGGACCTCAAGAGGTTATCTAGTCCAGTCCCCTGCACTCATGGCAGGACTAAGTATTATCTAGGTCATCCCTGACAGGTGTTTGTCTAACCTTGTCTTAAAGATCTCCAATGGCAGAGATTCCACAACCTCCCCAGGTCATTTGTTCCAGTGCTTAACCACCCTGACAGGAAGTTTTTCCTAATATCTAACCTAAATCGCCCTCGCTGCAATTTAAGACCATTACTTTTTGTCCTTCATCTTCCTTTTTATAACAACTTTTTACAAACTTGAAAACTGTCTCCCCTCAGTTTCTCTTTTTCAGATTAAACAAATCCTATTTTTTCAATCTTTCCTTGTATGTCATGTTTTCTAGAACTCTAATTATTTTTGTTGCTCTCCTCTGGACTTTCTCCAATTTGTCCACATTTCCTGAAGTGTGGTGCCCTGAACTGGACACACTACTTCAGAAGAGGCCCTATCAGTGCTCAGTAGAGGATTACCTCTCATGTCTGGCTTACAGTGCTCTTCCTAATACATCCCAGAATGATGTTTGCTTTTTTGCAGTACCCTTACAGTGTTTGCTCATATTTAGTTTGTGATCCACTATAACCCCCAGATCCTTTTCTACAGTACTCCTTCTTAAGCAGTCATTTCCCATTTTGTATTTGTGCAACTGATTAATCCTTCTTAAGTATAGTACTTAGGATGAAATTCAATAAGAACAAATGCAATTTACTTCAGAGTATTTCTCCAGTTTAAGATCATTTTGAATTCTCATCCTGTCCTGAGACACCCTCGAGAAACCAGGAAGCAGCACCCTCCAATAAAGAAATGGAGATGACTGTTAAGAGATGCACAAACCCCTCATGCAGGTTCCAACCATCTTGGGTCATCTGAAATGCTGGGGATTGAGTCAAGGGGAGAGGTGAGGAATTTCCTCTATGGAATTTTAATGAACAGGAGACTCCAGAATGGGGAATCCTTTGTTACTGTGAGACACACAAGTTTTGTTTTTTGATCACCATGATGTGTCACTGCCTTTGTCTGTCTCTCATGCTGTATAATCAACAATGCTGGGTCTTGTTCTTCCCAGAGCTCTAGGCAGAGGAACAAACAATTTTTTTCCCTTTTGAGTTTCTGCTGCATTCTTTTGGGGGCAGAGTGTCGAGGTATAATCACTCCTCACTTGAAAGCTCTGTGTAGGAAAGCAACCTATACGGAGTCACCACAGTGTTAGCCCCCATGCTGTAGAACGAAGCCCAGAGCCCATGCACCTTTCATGTAATTATCTAGAGCAGTTTGTTTCTGTAAGTCCTCCCCCTCCCTGTCTGTTATTTAACTCTAAAATTACTGTTGCGAGTGCCTGGGAAACAGCCTGCGTGTGAAAGAACGTTGAAATCTATTTTAAAAATTGTAAATGTTCCTTTTATTAGATAGTGGAGCTAATTTATCCTCTATTGCCTATTGTAATGCTTTTTATATTGAAAGGATTTTTTGTAATATAAACCAGAACACGAGCCTGAAGCTTTCTGCACAATTTGTGTGCATTTCTTAAAAAAATAAAAATAAATAAAGGTATTGTGACAGTGCAGTGGGACATCTTTAATTTTCACTATTCACATGATTGGTTTTTTTTTATGTTAAGTACAGTCACTTTCTTACCAAAGGAGGAATAAACTCAGCTAAGATGAGGTATAAACTGAATCCAAAAAACCTAAGAGACAGGAAAGGCTGGCTGGCTCAGGGAGTAGCAGTGGGACTAGAGAGCCTTTCTCCTCTCCAGTGCCAGCACCAGCTTGCCTTGAGGTCAGGAAGGGCTGAGCCAGGAAGTACAGGGACATGCTTGGACTTTTTAGCTTAAGTTTAGGGTTGTAAAGAATCCAAGGTTTTGGTTCCGCCCATTGCAGACACAGGAACCAGGTACAAAAATCATTTGCAGAAACCCACTATGTAAATGCAGGCTTGTCTTTGTTCAGAACTCAGTCACCTGGAGAATACTTCTCAGCTGTGCAGAGGGCTGCACAAACACCTTGCAATGCTGCCCCTCTCTCCCTCAGGATAAGTGAGGTTCATTACCCTCATTTGAAAGATGGGGAAACTGATGCCTGGGAGGTGAAGTGACTTGGCCATGGTCATCTAGCTAGTCAGTGGCAGAGACAGTATTAAAGCCTGAGAATTTTTGCCTCCTACCTGTGTTTTTGGCTGCTAGCCTAGGCTGCCATTTAGCAGTTGTCCTTGTGCTTCTAGGCACAGTCCCTGTGAAATTTCAGCAAGGTGCTGCCCTGTACCTGCTGCCCAACCTACCTTTATAGAGTGGAAGAAACCATCCAGCAGTGCCTAGTACCTGGCTCATCTCTGCTGTAGGATTTAATTCTATAATACAATTATAAACTCCCCCAGTCAAGCCAAAACTGAGGCAGCAACCCCCTGCTAGCTGTAAGCTTCTGGCAGTGCTGCATGGTATTGCCTGGGTCCTTCCCTTAGGGATACCCACAGTGCTCCAGCCCTGATCCTGAAAATCCCTCTCACTGTCCCTTGTAGGGTCAGCCATTCCCCACTGTTACTCATCACTAATGGTGGAGTGCACCTGTCAGCTGGTAACTAGCAATTGCCAGGGAGGATTGCACACCCCTTCTCAGACAAGGTACATCTCTCTCTGCAAGAGCTGAAAGGTGTAAATTGCAGTCCCATGAGACAGCCCCACTGCAGCTCAAAGAGAGATTTGATCATGCTAGTACTCTAACTGGAAGTGCAGCTACAGCAGACTTAGCTAACTTCCAACTCCAGGGCAGACATACCCAGATGGTCATCATGTGGTCCTGCAGTCTCTGTATGCATCAACGTTGGGCCCATGTTCCATATGCTCTCACTCCACATCACATTTGCAAATTAGTGTGCTACAGACTTCCTACTCGTCCATCCCTGCCCCAGTCCCTATGGCACCAATAGCACTTCGTTACATGAAGGAGGGGAGGGGGGGTGGAAGAGCAATAAGCATTGCAGAGTAGGTTGCGTTTATGCTCCATTTGATCTGTCTCCTCCTGGGAGCAGGCCTTTACATTGATTAGCATTGAATTGCCCCTCATGGCCAGTAGCCCTCTGCTCTCTCCACATCACTTAGGCTGGAGGGGGCAACAAACACCAGAGAACAGAATCATTGTGTCAGCTACCCATTTGGTCAAACACTTGAAATTATAGCAGCAAAAAAATGGACACTCCCATGCAGGAACAAGGGAGAGGGGCTGGGGCTTCTATGGAAGTTCAGGTGCTTTAAAACCCCTTTGGAAATCCTGAAATCAGCCTAGACTAGATTGCAACCAACCCTGAGCAATGTGTGCTGGATGGTTCACTGCCATGGCCGATGCAGAGGTGGGGCCTTGTGACAGTGGTTCATAGCTAAAGCCTATTCAGCTATGCTGCATTGATTAATACAAACTGAGCCCTGATAGCCAGTGGTGTATGCAGGGGGCAGCATTTTTCTACCCATCCCCCCAAGAAAGATCCTTTCCTAGAACCTGCCTTAGTCCTGCTGAAATGAAATTAACCCAAAAAACCCAGGATCCACTTTGTTACAGGTTCCATTCCAGACAGTAGCCCTAAGGCTCATAATGAATTTTAACTATATATTATCATCTTCTACTGGCCAGACTGGAGAGTTACACACAGCCCCAGCATTAGCAAGTAGCTTAGGGTCCAGAGTTTAACCTCTCGCTGCACTGGGCCTATCAATTTTTTTTTTTTGGTTAAAAGATTTAGTATAAGCTCCAATATTTTCAGCATTTGCACTTGACACAGACATTGCAATGCACACAGCAGGCCAAGTTCCTGCAGCTGTTTGTAAATGCCAGAAACAGAAACAAGCTTTAGGGGAGAGCTGTAGTGAAGATGTGCCAGGCTTTACCATGAATGCTCAGTGGATGTCCATGTTAACTTTAAATCGGGGATTTTTTTCTGGCTGATGCTAAGAAGTGGCCCTTAAAGCTAATGTTCTTCAGCAGCCACCTTAGCTCTGTTAGTCACAGACAGTTCTGATTCTCAACAGCCAAGAGCCTGCACATGTTTATTCCAGGTCTGTCAGCTCTACTCCTGTGCACAGACTGGTCCAGCCCAACAGCTCCCCCTGTTGGTAAATGAATAAGTCCATGACATCTATCCAATCCTTTGGAGAACAAGCAGCATGGTACTGGAAAGCGGGTGGGGCAAGGTACTATCTTCTCCAGGATTGTCACTACCCGCATAGAAGAGCCAGTGCTGTGGAGCCAGGGTTAAGTCTTCCTCAGCCTCAAGAGCAATGGGAGGCAATGGTCAGGGAATAATGAAGTCCTGTTATGCCTTTGGAATGCCTGGGGAAGGCAAGATGGGCCTAGTACTTTTCCCTGCTCAGCCATTCTTTATCCCAGCCAAATAGAATCCTGAAGACGTAAGACCTCAGCATTGGTCCTTTTTTCTGCTGAATCCAAGGGGAAATTGGTACCTGTACATTAGGAGTGGAGAAGACCAGCTCGCTCATCTAGTCCCTCACTTCACTAGAGTAGGAGTCACACAAGTACCTACAGAACAGTGATTTACCCCCTGCAGTCCTCATTGACATGAGCCTTTTTCTCACTCTCCCTAACAGTGATACAGCTCCACAAGCAGTAGCAAAGAGGGGGCTCTAGCATAGACAGGACATAAGAGGAGTATTTTAACCATGGCCTCATCTAGACCGAAGTAGGGGACTGGTTAAAGTCTCATCGGCTGATCTATGCTAGTGCACTCACTAGGGTTACCCGCAGGGGAACTACTGCAATAGGAATTAAGGGAAAAAATACAAGCAGCAGCCCAGACTATATACCAAACTTCCAAGACAATGAGGCTTATTCAGTCTTAGAGACTATTCAACAGCTCTTTACCTTTCTCCCCTAATGCAACCCAAGTGTTTTCTCCATCCTTTTGCACCACTCTCCCTTACGGAGATCCACAAGATTTGGATGTAGCTTGGCTTGGAGTTTCACAGGACTGTGATGAGAAAGAGAATAAAGATGCCACCCTCTTTTCTTGCTGTATTTAACCCAGTGTGTCCTGTCAGCACAGAGTAAATACATTGGGTGTTGTCTCTAAAAACCGCAACACTATCTGATTGGAGCTGTGTCAGCAGCCCTACCTTAGAGGGCTGGCCAGGATTAGTGCTGAAATCTACTCACTAAAGGGGGAAAAGGCTCTATGTATGAGTGAGAGGCAAATGAACGGCTCCAAGCCTACAGGAGCTGGATTGAGTCCTTTGCCTCCTCTCCCCTCTGGGATTCAGTTTCTATGTGCTGCAATCATTTTGTGCTTTGCTGAAAAGGTTTCTGAGCTTGTGATTCCACTGGCCAGTTTCCTCCATTGTCCCTGAGCCTGACTGGTCCTTACGTCTTGTCAGCCTTCCCTGCTGTGTTCACTTGCCTTCTCTAGACAGATATGGGGAGGGCTGCAGGGGTTGGCTCTCCTCCTGCACCTCATGTGGCAATGGAGCCAGCCCTGGGTTTACACACTGATTCATGCTGGTAAGTGGGGGAAAAAAAGGGAATTGCTTTAGAACAAAAAGGGGGACAAAAAAAAAAAAAAAAGGAAAGTTATTAACAGAACCCCTCCTCTCCCCCCCAAAAAAGCCTCAGGGATTAGACTTTCTTGGGTCGCCGTCCAAGTTGGTAATAATAGTAAACGGTGATAAGGGTGAAGAGGATCCGGCTGGTGAGGAGGAGCATGGCACCTGTGGATATCCGGCCACTCTCAACAAGGGTGATGGTGGTAACTGAAGGAGAAGGAGGGAGACAAGGCACAGGTTGATAGTGAAATAACAGTACATTTAAATAGAGTGCAGTTCTCTAGTGTCCTATAGTGGAAATTCTCAAAGAGGATTTATCCATCCTGAAAACTACAAGGCAGCCTTGCAATTTCTGCCCATCGATCTGTTTGTCTGCTTCTAACACTGCTGCCCCACTACATTATTCACTGAGTCTTTAAGGAACTGTGATTATATATATCTTAAAGAAATAGAATACTAGGGCCACATTCAGCAGTGGAGTAAGTTACATATAGGGTATGGACAGTGTCCCATGTATTGTGCAATTTCACAGTCACAGAATTTGCCATGGCATTCATCCCTTGCCCTAGACTAATACTCAATCATTTAAAATTTCACTTAGGAAAAAGAAAAGAAAGCTATCTTCAGGCAGACAGCCTGAAATATCCTACTCAGTGTTAATTCTGAAACCTACAGCTGACCGCTTAAATAGCGAGTTTGTTAATTTTATTGCTGGATTTTCTTCAAAGCAGAAATATTAATAAAATGTGCTTATCTCACCAACAAACGCCTCCAGCAGGTAACGAGTTGTAGCTCTGCCCTGCCAAAACCTGCCACTTTCCCCACATGGCAACTCTACAAAGCAGTCAATGAGCTGTCTATGCAAGAAACCATGGCATATTGGAAACCAGGTGTGAACAGTGTAAAATATATTGAATTTAATACCAGAGCATGTTGTCCCACGTTTTATTCATTTTCATATTTCATGTAATAAAAATCCTCCATTTTAATGTAAGTGAAGTGACCATAGAATTTCCAGTCTGCCACAGAATCGAGGGACCTAAATGCAGAATTTAACTCCAGCTTGCTGCGGAGTGCCTGGGGTAAGTGGGTCGGAAAGTGGGAGTTAGTGGCAAAACAGAGTTGGGTGGACCAATCTGGCATTCCATAGGTGTGCACACAACTATAACTTCCACCCCCTGTAGAAGGAATAGGGGGAGAGTAATGGGAAAAGTGACAGCAAGGAGGATGTAAGATTCTGAGCCTGATTCTCCACTGCCTTGTGCAGTCATTTATTTTGTTCCCACTTTCCACAGGCATGCTACTGTAACAGCATAATCCACTCCTTTAAGAGCAACCAGGACTATTCTGAGGCAGAGCCTGTTTAAGAATAGCTGCTTGGGCCTGGTATTGGGCATTATCAGACCCAGCTGGGGAGGTGTCAGGTGAATGATGAGCAGCTGATATCTGCCAAGGCTGAGGGAGACTGCTATAGAAAACCAGTTGCTTCCCAGGCAAATGGTCTATAGGCAACCTGGGGAAGAGCTGACACGAGTCTGGAGGCTCTGGCAAGGAAGTCCCAGGTAGCTATTGGATTTATGTTGAACTGTTTGAAAGTTGTTGGTACAATCAACAGTAGCCTGCAGAAAGGGCCTGAACAGATGCAGTGTGCGGCATTTAAACCCTTCTTGGGCTGATCAGGGATCCCACTGGCCTACAGCTCCTCTTGTGACTTTGTAGTGTTTTATGCCCTCTTTGCCCCCTTACTGCTCAGTTTGGGAATGACCACATGAGAAGCAAGGTAGCAGAGACTCAGCCCCACTGTGCCCAGGAGGGCTGGGTATTATGGTGATGGTCACTACACAAACGTCAGACTGCATTGACGACTTTGCCTCCCCTACCGTATCCTCGCTCTTCAGCCCTCTGACTGGGTAAGTTTCACTCATGCGGAACACCAGAGGCCCAATTATGGTTTCAGCTGCGCTACAGTAAGTCTAGATAATGCCACTAAATTCAGTAAGGGGACTCCAGATTTCCACCAGTGTAAAGAAGAGCAGAATCTTTCCCCCAGTGAATGCCAATCAGTGCAAGTTATGCTGCTTTGCCATTTACAGCATTCCCTTCTTCCCAGGCACTTGTGTGGGGAAGGGATAGCCTATCACTTGGCCAATCCCCTCTGCTTCCCTCCTGCCTCAGTAGAGCTACTCACCTAGGAACTGCACCCCAAAGTAACAGGCTTCTGTCAGCAGGGTCCAACGGATGATGACCTTCTCAGATGTGTACAGGGCATTCCACATGATAAGGGAGAGACCTGAGACAAGAACACATAGCAAAACTGCTTCACAGGCTGAGAGATGTGGCAGGGGAAAGGGGCAGCTCAGAGACCCCTCTACGGGGAATCTCAGAAGTAACAACAACTAATTCATGGGGCTAACACTCATAGGCATGATAGAGCTGTGCTGGTGGAACTGAGTAATCTACTGTGGTGGCCCAAAGTTACAGACGGGGTTGCTGCAATGTATTTGGATGGATCCACCTTCCAGGCTTGACACTGCTACAGTGCCCCAGCCTGAATCCTGTAACCAAACTGGTCTCCTCCACACTTAGATAATATGGTAATGCATGCACTAGAAATGCAAACACTCCAAACGTGGTGGGATGGAGAGGGGACCAGAGCGACTCATTGTGAACAATCCCAGGGTCAGGGAAGCTGTTTACTGGGACATATGGGACAGGGATAGCTCAGTGGTTTGAGCATTGGCCTGCTAAACCCAGGGTTGTGAGTTCAATCCTTGAGGGGGCCATTTAGGGATCTGGGGCAAAAAATCTGTCTGGGGATTGGTCCTGCTTTGAGCAGGGGGTTGGACTAGATGGCCTCCTGAGGTCCCTTCCAACCCTGACATTCTATGACATCCCAGTATGGAAGAACCACCTGCAGCTCTGTGCTTACCACCCCACATGACTCACCAAGCTCCCAAAATCCAGATCCCAAATACACCTCTACCCAGATATAACACTGTCCTCGGGAGCCCAAAAAAAAAAAAAAAGTCTTACCACATTATAGGTAAAACCGTGTTATATCGAACTTGCTTTGATCCGCCGGAGCACGCAGCCCCGCACCCCTGGAGCGCTGCTTTATCGTGTTATATCCGAATTTGCGTTATATCGGGGTAGAGGTATACGCTTATTACTGGAGCTGGCCTTTTGCCTTGCTTGGCTCCGAGTCATATTCATGCCTTTCCCAGAAAGCACCACTGTTCAGCAGCCCTGGTACAGAGAGAGCGAAGTCCTGTCCTGACCTTATATTGGAGGAGACAAAGGGAAACCAGAGGCCAACAAAAGGGGAGCTGTATCACAGAACTGGGGGTTTCCAAGAGCAGGCTGTGTGTGCTGTGCTACCATTCTGCACCACCAGGTGCTGCTACAGGCTAAGGAGAGGAGATGGGCAGTGGATAAGCAAAGAACGGGTTTTCCATATGTACCAGAACCCCTGATCCTGCTACCTACCAAGCACAGTACACTTGGGTGATTCCTGCTACCATTAAAAGATAAGACCTTGCACTTGGACCCACTGTCATAAGCAGTCCCTTCACTCCAGCCATCACTCCCTCTGTACAGTATCCTCAGCATCCCAGCGACAGATTCAAAGAGTGAGCAGACCTTGTGGGCCTGGTCTGTGTATGTTTAGTGCTAGTGAAAGACAGCAGGGCAAGCTTCTCCCCTCCCGACTACACACACCATCCTGGGAGTCTGAACTTCCATAAAACCAATTTATTCATCGTCATTCCCAAGAGAAATCTGCTGGCACTACATTTTCCCTAAGCCTCCCACCTTCAGCTCCTCCACCTCCAGTTTTGCTGCCACCTCCTCCTCCCCACATGGCACTGAAAAAGGGCTGACTAGTGTTCTGAAACTTTCTAGGCTCGTTAAGGCTGGAGGTGGCAGAACATGGAGCTGGGAGAGGCAGCCCTGCTTCCCCCAAAGATTCCAGCCTCAGAGGGACAAGGGAATTGCCACACTGGAACAGGCCAATGCCTTGCCTAGCCCAGTACCCCCATGTTCTGCATCAAGGCTAGATGGGCCATCTAGCCTGGTCTCCCCCACCCCCTCCTGTTGAACCAGTTCCTATCAATGGCCCTTCCAGTCTAGTATTCCATTTCTGGCAGCTTGCAATCTCCTCCCCTCACACGGTGCAATACAATGTTAGAGACAGTATGGAGGGAGGGGGTTTTCTTGATCCTAGAGCTAGGAGGGAGATGGAACTTTTTGCAAACCAAAAAAAAAAAAAAAAAAACACCCAAACCACTTGAAGAGGCATTTACCCTGACGTTGCCTGGCTCTGTCCTAACCCGATCTGAGGTTAGGTCTGGTACAGAGCTTTCCTTCCTCCTCCCCATTAGGATTCTTCACTCAGAGCTTCTCAACATCTCCCGTTAGTCCTACAGACTGAATCTCTAAGCTCAGTCTCAGCATTACTTACTGAGGAGGGCTCCTCCATACAGCCTGATAGGAGTCTTGCTGTTGACGGATTCTTCTTCAAAGACGGCATCATAGAGCTGATCAGGGAAAGTGAGAGCCTAAAAGGAGTGGGAAGGAGACCGAGGGAATCTCAGTTGCTCTGCATGAGATCGGGTCACTTGAAGATAATAAAAGTAGAAGAGCAGCAGCTCCCCCTGGGTTGGAGAGCTCAGACTGTACACCAGGGGTGCTACATGTGTTTTGGGTCACTTGTGGGGGGTGGGATTAGAGAGGAATAGCCTCCAGGATCTCCTCTGTGACTGAGACCCCTGCTGCCAACTCTGGTTTTATGAACCTGCTACTAGAGGCTGGGACTCAGGTGTTAGGAACAACCTGTCAGGGAAGCTGTTGGTAAAACCCATTACAGAGAGACAGCTGATCACAGGCCAGGAAGAGAAAGTGGCAGCAGCTTTTGGAGGGTGGTGACGAAAGAATAATGCATAGGGCCATGGAGATTGCTAGGTCATGACTGCACTTTGGTAGCCCCAGGTTGGGCTCTTTCTGGGAATGGGTCTCCCACTTACCATGATGGCGACCCCAGAAAATATGATGGCAGAGACGAACTGCCAGACCCTGCATGGGAAGAAACACAGATCAGAGGCACAGAGATTCCCCAAACCCTCACTCTTCCATCTGCCCAAGCGGGGTGGCCCCAGGTATATCCCAGAGGACACCCCCACCCAGGATATCAGGGAAGAGGGAATTCAGTTTGTGATCCTTTATGTGGATGGAGAGACTGTCTTTGAGTAGAAGCAGCCAGCATGGAATACAGATAACCACCAAGGGATTTCTTGGCTAGCTGGAACACAATCAGTTCAGGGCATCTGACCGAGGAAGCCTTTGCCATATACAAGTCAGCTGGGCATTTGGGGCCTGATTGATTTCAGTGGTGCACAATGGAGCAGGGACAGGTCTCCTTTGGGCATCAGTGCATAGGTTAATGGGCTGGGGTATTGCACATTCAGTTTTTCTCCTTTCAGCCACTCTTCTAGGCTTGTCTATAGTCACAAGGTTTGATTTAGTAGCCAATAAGGGCTGGGAACCCAACTGGACATTTCCATCAGCTACAGACCAGCCTAGAGCCCCGGCACACCCAGCTTACCCCCAAACTCATCAGCTCATACAGACCCACTATTTCCCTTTATTCACTCAAGATTCCACCCTGACACATTTGGCAAACCTCTCCTACAAGACACTGTACTTCTGCTTGTAGCCAACAGGCTGCATAGTCTCCCAAGTCCTTGTAGTCCCTTAGCTTGAAGGTAACTTGCTCACAGCTGCCTAAAAAAGTTTCTATGGCTCAAAAAAAAAAAAAAAAAAAAAAAAACCACACACACACACACCACAATCCTCTCATAAAAGAGGCCCCAGCACACCTTGGGACACATAAATTAGACTCAATTCATCCAGTCCACACCTGGGACACGGGCAGTATATAACTCTGCCTTGTGACAGAATTCCCAGGTCCAAAGCCAGCCCGGAGGTTTCTCACCCCATGAGAGTCACTCTCCCAGCACTGGCTCAGCAACAGCTCAAAATGCAGGGTTTACCCCCTTGTATTGAAATGGTACTATATCCACATTCAGAGCTCAGAGATAACCACTGAGGCAGAGACCTAACGTAAGATTCCAGATGATGTTTAACGCCATGGGCTCTGTTCTAGAACACAGGGGAGACCCTCTCAGACACCATACAAGAGTGCGGGCCCTCACTCGACCCCCCCACCCCCATTACACAGATGAGTGACACCTATGGTCAGATCCTCAAAGGAATTTAGGTGCCTACCTCCTCTTGATTTCAATGGAAGTTAGATGCTTAGGTACCTTGGAGGATCTGCACTGTACAGGTGAGTGATACCTTCATACCACCACATAGCATACAACTGGGACAGGCCCATCAAAGAGGTAGGGATGTCACCATGCCTCACACAAGTGAGAGTCTCGATACACAAGTGAGAAATCTTCTGTGCATACTGCAGAAGTGTAATACTCTACCCACCCAGCCCGCACAGGGGACACAACCCACCCACTGGCAAAGGGGAAATCACCCAGTAAACCCCCTACTGCACAGGAGACATCCACACACATACAGCATGGGTGAGGCACCTGTCCATGTTCAGGGTCATCCTGGGAGTGCCTGTACAGCCACCTGGGCTCAGCCCATCAGCACAGGTGCCCTGTTATAAGAAGTGTCTGCCTCCCTGACCATTGTATTGACAAGTAGCCCCAAGTGCACCCTTCTATGGCTAGCAAGGCTAAGGAGGATGCAAGGCTGCAAATGGGAGTGGGGAGAAGGCAGCAGCCCATGTAAATATTTAGGCCCAAGACCTCCCTTAATGTCACCAGCCTCATCCCAACTGTACAGCCTGAGTGCTCAGACTCTCCATGGAAACTTACCTGAGCCCCAAGGGTTCCCGCACAGCAAATTTTATTTCATTTCCCAGGACTTGACTGATCTGAAATTCAAATGAGAACACATGGTGTCTGAACAGCCTGTCCCCACACTCCTGCAAACAATCTCGGTCAGCCTGAGGAGAGGACACACATCCAACCCTATGGGGGGAAATCTTATCTCTGGGTGGAATCTCTGCTCCCTCATCTAGATCTGTTGGCCTCCTTTGGCAAGTTCCCAAAGGGTCATTTGATTATTTGGAGCCCCACCCTCTAAGGAAACTCCCTCCTCCTCTCATTGGAATGAGGTGCACTCTTCCCTTCCCCTCCCTTCCCCCCCATGGAGATCTCCTCTTATGGGTGGGAGGGAGCAGCTGTCTGTTTACACAGATAGTAGCTGCTGGCTGTGGAGAAATATGCATGGGGCCACGATTCTCCAAGATGTCCATTCTGTAGATGCATCCGAAGAAGTGGGTTGTAGCCCACGAAAGCTTATGCTCTAATAAATTTGTTAGTCTCTAAGGTGCCACAAGTACTCCTGTTCTTTTTGCGGATACAGACTAACACGGCTGCTACTCTGAATTCTGTAGATGGATTCCTTCACTAGTAACAGACCCCCTCATGGATCCCACTCCCCTTGAAGTGTTCCATTCTGTAGACCACCAGGAAGCATCCTCTGACCACAGTTTAAGAGCTACTCTTCTAGGGGTATCCACAACCAGGTATAGGGTATGGGGAGATGTACACCCTTAGGAGTTATGGATTAATGCAGGCAGACAAGACCCCCCCCTCCCCCCGCATTATCCCTATTCCCTCTGATTTCACAGCTTCACACTATCAGACTCTGGCTAACCCCAATAAAATAACATTCTCTCTCTCTATGTCCCAGGTAGGATGGGAGTGTAGCGGAGTGAAGAATGGCAGCCATGTTTGCCTGCACAGTTACCAAGACGCCGCCATCTTACTCAAGGCTCCTCAGTCTTCCATACCATGCTCACCAAATTCCAACACTCACAAGCACACATCCTCAGATAGATTCAAGAGCCCAATGGGCCAGTTCCCATGAATTTCAAATGGGGTATCCTGACAATGGGTATGGCTGGTTTATGGGGTACTCCCAAACACCTGAGGAGCCAGTAGAAGTAAATGAGCACCAGCAGGAGACTGGAAGCAGGAAATGGGAGATGAGAGGCTGGTTACAGGTTGCCTAGTGTATCTCAGATGTGAGGCATTTAGTCCCTTCCACTCTCCTGGGGATATCGAACTGTCTCAGCTCTAGTGGGGATCCTGCTGGCAGGCAGCCATTTAAAACACAGTTAGAATAAATGCATGTCTCCATAGAGCCAAAGGTTACATTTCCTAAAGGGGATCTGTCAGATTGGCATCATCCGGTCCAACCGGCATGGCTCCAGGGCCTGAAGCAGAGGAGGGAGCCAAAGTTCAGCAGTTTTAGGTCAATAGATGTGGGGGGAGGAGAAAGCAAACCCAAAAGGTTTCCATTTTGTTCCAGAGCTGATCAGGAGCCCAGCAAGGGATCATTTAGGAGATTAAAGGAGAACCACAGCAGAAAGGCCTCCCTGTAGGCACACAAGGCAACAGCAAAGGGGCACTATGCAGAGGAAAGAGAGACCTTTACCATGCAAATGAGAACAAAGGTGACACAGGCAGCCCTGAGTAGCTTCCTGCCTGTCTCCAGCCAGCATTGTCAGCTGGGGAGGAAAAAACAGCTTTGTGTTCCATTCGGTGTCATTTCCTGCATGTAGGGAAAGGCATGGGGGAGGCCCTCAGGGCCAGAGAGAGCTACTTACAGCTGAGACAAGTTTAGGCAAGTACTCTTTCCACACCCTCCAGGGCCAGACTAGTCCCAGGTGGTGTTCAGGGACAACTCTCAGCAGGATAATAATGTTCCCAGGGAAGACTAGGCTGAGGTGGCCTTCCAGAAGAGCACAAGGCAGTTATCTGGATCTGGGGGGGGGGAGGGGGGTTTTGTTTGTTTGTTTTTTTAAAAACAAAACACAAGACTCCATTCATCCATTTGCAACCCAATCCTCCATGGGCACCAAGAGTGTCTTATAAATAATTGCACCAATTTCTGAGGTATCTGCATCAGATTATGCCGAGTGAATTGACTGGCTGTGCTGTGTGCATAAAGCACAAGCTCAGAGTCACCTAATGGGTGCCCTCACAATAAAATTCCAGCAGTGGTTTAATAGTTTAAAGACAGTGTTCATATCTATTAATGTGAAAGCAGTTTACAGCCAGCCTTAGCACATCAGAAGAGCATAGTGCTTAAATTGCTGCTTTATTCTTGCCATGATAGCCCATCTCCATGATTTATAGAAATCTGAGGAAAACAACAGCTGCAGCATTCTCCAGCAAAGGGGCTCTAGAAATTAAAGTAGAGGTGGAAGGGGCTCCAAGAGTGAGAGATCAGTGATCCCCTTCCCATTATAGTCTAGCTGGCTGTCAGATATCAAGTCTCAATTAGCATTTTGGGCACATCTTTTCCTTTTACATGCATAGATTTGTTTTCAGCCCCATTCAAACTTAATTACACATCTCTGCGCCAGACATACCAAGGCATCAGACGTTTTTTGTAAATACCCAATTCCAAGGGATCTTTTCCTGTACAGGTTCCCACCCAAGGAAGTGTTGCCATTCTGCCTCAAGCGTTGACAAATGCCCATTTCCTTCCTTCCTAGTCTCACAATGATTCCAAAATACTTACTTTGAATTCAACTTGCAAAATTAGAATCAGGAACTGGCTTTGATGGGTTGCGTGAGTCAATCCAATTCAGCTCTTCCAAAACAGAGGGTCATTTGTGAAGTTCAGAGCTGGGTTGAACTGTGAACACCCCCAAAGGTTTGGGTGTGTTTGTATCTGGGGTTTGATTTACACCTGCCTCTCATTAATGAGCCTCAGCTGAGCAAGTCTGGACAGATATGACCAACTGGACAGGCCTTCCCTAGCCCCAACATTTTGAAAGTGATTTAGATAAAGGATCCAGGTAGAATTAGAAGTGGACAATGATCTATGAAAGTGACCTGATACTGTATGTCTTTTTCATCTCTAACTCCTAAGACTATGGGCCAGATACTCGACCACAACTAAGTCCCCTTTGTGCAGCTCCAGTGACACTCCTAAAGGGGCAAGTTGGGGGTTCTTCTAATGGAGGGGAAGCTCCTAGTGATATAAAGTTACCCAAAGCCCTTTGACTTCCCCTCCATATATGTGGCATTCCAGGGCAGGCCTAAAAAGTGACAGAGGTGAGAAGGGGTGGGCAATGAGTGTACTGCTCTGTCAATCCTGGACCAATGTTATGAGCCCTAGGGGGACCATTCTTGTGGCTGCTCTGATTTATGTTGGGCTGATTCAGCCCCATATGGCCCTGATATTGGGGAGGTATCTTAAAGCTACCTGTGTCTCCCACACTCAGCTGCACCCAGCATGAGCTCAACTGAGGATCAAGCCCCATGACTAATTCCTTCAAGCGACTGTCAATCCCTGCTCTTCAGTGTCTTGCAGTCTAGCATTTGCAATTCCCTGTCAAAAGCTTCTATGTTATTGCCCTTACACAGGCACTGCTGACTATGGAGAACTCTTGTTTCTGTATCTCTGTATGAGCAATACAATGTGCGTGTGTGTGTGCGCGCGCATGAGAGAGAGAGATGGTGACAGACAAAGAGAAAGATGAAGCTCAGTGTGGGGCAGGATGGGGGGGGGGGGGGGGGGGGGGGGGGGGAGAATGGATGGATGTTTGTGTCTGACTGTGTTCTCAAAGAGAATATAAACCACCTACAAAGTTATGTATATTCCCAAATTTATAAAGCATCATCTCTAATAAGGTGAGAATAGCAGCTTGAAACTCCAGGCCCTGCCGCCCCCAGAGGCCTGGCAATTCCACCCACGGCTGCGATTCTGCTGTATGCCACACCAGATGTAGCTGCATCTCAGTTGCAAAGCATTTTCTGAAGGGCTTACTGCACCAAAGGACAATGAAAGAGTCAAATGGTCACTGAGTCCCCCACCCACCCACTGCATCACTGGATGTGGGTTCCAGTGATTATTATGTCGCAAAGATAATATGCTGTGGTGATTTGGGTGATGGGCTATTCTAAATCTTGCAGCTAAGCAGATGCTAGGATTTGAGGGATCCCAGCCTAATTTTTAATCTGTCCTCTGCCTTTCCCGACATCTCTATTTCCCCTTTTCTCTTGCCCTGAGCACATTTTCCCATTTCCCCTCCCCTATACACACTTCTGTTGTCTTCCTCTTTCCTGCCCTCTTCATGTATCTTACTCCCTCCTCCTCCTCCTCCCCTCCCCGCCCCCAAAAATCACATTTCAGGTTGCTTCACTGATATGCTGTTATTTTACATTCACAAAAGTTTTTAGAAATAGGCATCCCTTTTGCTTAGTCCCTTTCCACAGGACAGGGACCAAGCCCCACTATCCAAACCAATAATCTTCTCAGCTCAACTTGCATTGGCTAGAGAGGTCTGAGCCAGGGCCGGCGCAACCCATTAGGCGACCTAGGTGGTTGCCTAGGGCGCTACAATTGGGGGGGGGCGGTGACCACGGCGGTATTTCGGCGGCGGGACCTTCTGCCGCCTCGGGGGGGAGGGGAGGGGCGCGGCATTTCGGGACGGGACCTTCCACCGCCTAGAGCGGCAGAAAAGCTGGCGGCGCTCCTGGTCTGATCCTCAGAGTCCAAATCCCAATCCAGAATTTTGGTTTGGCCCATCCTGGAGACAGGCTCAAGCTGCATGGTTCACATTTGAATTTCCCCAAAGCTCAGGGTGTGTTTGGATGTGGAGGATTTTGCTTTGGGTTCCTCCCTACTACCCACCCACTTGTTTTTAATCTCAGGCAGAGGAAGGGAGAGCTATCAGCTGAGCCTCATCCCATTATCTATCTGGTCTTTGCTATTTCTTGTTTTTTTGACCACTCCTCTGCAGTGAAATGTCTTTTGTGGCAGGCAGCTAAATGAAAAGGTTACTAGAGATTCCTGATGCAGAGCATCTCCCAACTTCTGATCTCCACAGGTCTCCCTGCAAGTCTTTATTACAGACCATTGCAAACATCTATCCTGCCCCAAAGAACATGGGGTTCAAAGATGGATTGCCAACTTGTTCCCCTACTGCCCTTTCCTCTTTCCCTTCCCCAGCAATAGCAGTTTGGCTCATGTAAAAACAACATGTTTGAGCCTCGTGCACTGCCTGGAACCAGTTTTCCCTTCTTTGTGCTGAGAGATGTCAATGAGTGGCACAATGGGGGAGGGCGGTGCAAGTTCCCCAGTTCTCACTCTCCTCAGGGACACCCAATGTCTGACCCATTGTAAGAGGCTCTTTCAATCCCCCTTTTCCCTGCTGTGGGGCAGACAAGAACACCACCCCTGCTGTCTCTCTGCTTAGAACCATCCAATTTCCTCACCCCATACACCCAGAATAGTGTTACGGTATCACAGTGCATGGAGGTGGTTCTTACCTTAGACCTATGAACTTCCCCATCATCATCTTCCCCTCCAACTCCCAAGATCTTCCGTGTCTTGAGTCGGCTCACCAGGTCCGTCTGGCTATGCTTCTTCATTAGAGGTGGGGGTTGCTTGGTTGCCATGGTGACTCACGAGCAGTTGCTGGCTTTGGAAGAAACTGAAAGGACAGAGGAAGTCAAAAGTGCTGACAAGGAGCATCTCTCATAGGACTGGACCCCTTATGAGGGACTAAGCATCCTCCCATTAAAGGTGCTGCAGACACTTAGCAGGATTGGGCCCAAAAATAGTTGGGTGTCCTCCGTGGACAAGAGTGGGGCATTGCTTTTCTCATGACAGGTCAGGCTAGATTTGTCCACAGCTGGACAGAGGAGTCTTAGTTCATTTTGAACCAACGAAGAGCATTTCTACCTATTTGTTACCGCCGTACCCATTTGAAAGAAAGCTCCAGAGCTCAAAGAAAGGGAGGTTCTGTGACTTTAACATAGCTACTATAGGGCTGGTGACAGTGCCAGACTGACAGTCTTGGGGACTGATGCCCCAGAACAAGTCAAGTACAGGCAGCAACACTGCAAACTGGCTTCCCCTCTAATTCCCTGACCAGGAGCAACTCCTTCTAGAGCCCAAGGAAGTTCCATCACCATGATCAATTCACTTGTTGGTCTCTCTGCCATGTCTGTGTGCAAGGAGCGCCACGTGGCCCATTGTGTGGGTAGATTTTTTTAATGTGGACACAGAGACCCATCACCATTTCACACTGGTAACCTCCAGGGAGCTGTCCATTAAGGAGTTCCAGACAAGAGAGCATTAGCAGCCACATCCCCAGAGTTCCCTTCCTCTCTAACTGCATCAAAGACCCAAGGAAATTCTGTCCACAGAGAATAAATTCTACATTTTGTGTTTCCTCAGAAGCCACAAAAGTGGCTCAAAAGCCATAGAAGAAACCTGCAGCATAAACATTCTTTTCATGGCTGCTCCAATTAAACCTCTGCTCCGTATGCTTTTATCTTCCTAATTATAGTGGGTGGAAGAGCTTTGTTATCAGCTGGGAGCCTGTCTTCTCTCCAGATGACAGAAGGAGGGGGAGCCCAGCCAATCCAAAACCTTCTGTTGGACTAGCTGGTACTAAGTGCTCTTAAAGAGAGGCTGCCTGCCGCTTCACTCATCTGACCCCTCTGGACTGATCATGAATAGACCACATTAGCAAGGTCCTGGGTATATCAGTCTCCTCTGAGATCTCACCATGAGGGCTGATGGCATAACTGAAGGACTATCTTTCTGTGATTTCTGAGGGGATCCCAGTGAGAGAATCTGAAAAGAGGATGGTAATGCAGAAGGCAGGGGTGCCTGAGCTTTAAGTGTCCATGGGGAGATGTGACAGACAGCTCTGGCAATGTGACAGAGACCCTAGGACTTCACTTATCTGCTCTCTGATACAAGTTCTCAGCTACCCTCATCTTTAACAGACATGCAAGGTAAAGACTATAGGGGCTAGAGGTCCCAGGATGCAGTGCTCCATCTGGGTCTGTGTAGCACTGCATGCTAGGATGGATGGTATCTTCCAGCTGTTCCTCTATATTAAAAATGAGGACAGCCCTGAAAAACTACAGGGGTGCATTTGGCCTGTGAGCCTCACTTAGTCCATCCCGATATAAAGTGATGTCCGAGGCAGACTGAAATCAGGAGTTTAGCATCTTCTCAGAACATTTCCCAACCTAGAGGACATTAAATTACTCTAGGGGAGCAGTTGGGTGTGAAGAAAGCTGTGCGGCCCCATTTATTTACTTGCAGCATGGGGCAAATGGCAAGTAGCTCCTTGACAGCCATCCACCTTCCCCTCCAGCTTCTGCAGTGGATCCTAATGCAGCCCATCCTTGGGAGCAACTCATGTGTAAAGGGCCACTGTCCACCAAGCTTCTCTTTCCTTGGTTGAACTGAGTCCCACAGGAGCACAGTCCCATAAAGCACTAGAGACATAACCTGCCCCCCCCACAAAAAAAAAAAAAAGAAGACTGGGAGAGAGTCACACAGACGGCAAGGGCTGCTCCAACTGAAGATTGCTTGGCACCTTCTCAGATCAGACAGACCCTGTCTTGTGTTCCTTCATTCCCTCTTGGCTTGGTCTAAAAACAAATATTTTTTTCTGAGCAGGCATGGGACTCTAATCCGGCAAGTCCCTCGCTCAGGCCAGTTTTTCCCATAGCGGTTCCATGCATGTGGACTCTGTGCTAGGGTATGTCTACACTGCAGCTGGGAGGTACGGTTCCCAGAGTGGTTAGACAGACATGCTAGCTGTGCTCAAGCTAGCATGCTAAAAACAGCAGCGTGGCTATGCAGGCCCCGGTGTCGGCTCAAGCTAGCCACCCAAGTACGTACCCAGGGGGTCAGGTGGGTTTGGACTCTGCCAGCTAGCCCAAGCAGTCACAACCACACTGCTCTTTTAAGTGTGTTAGCTTCCGCAAAGCTAGTGTCTGTCTACCCCTGTTGGGACCTGTTGTGGAGACATAACCCTAGTGTCAAAAGGGGACAGGGCTCGGGATGAAATGTGTTAGCTGAGGGAAGCTATTCTGGTGTGAGGTGTGGAGAAAGCACTTCAATTGTTTTCACTTCATGCTAAGCACAGAGTAAGCATTCACTGGGTAAGTTAGCACAGTAACATGATCATGCTATTGCAGGTTGTCATGCCCTACAACCGCGCTGGTGCTGTATCTGGCCATGACAAGCAGTATACAGCACTACAGCTCACTGGGCTGCTCCATGCTTTATAGAGTTAAAGGGGTTTGCTCAGTTCAGCCCAAAGCTGCACCAAGATTCAGGTACCTTCATACGGCCAGGTGGCTGTACATGGATGCAGGGGTTTGTTAGTAGCCATTGAGCTGTTTTAGACCTCTCCAGTGTTTGAACCTAGAGAAACTGACCTGCAAGCAGGAAGCTGAGCAAAGGTAGATTGATAGCCCCTGGACTGGAAGTGGACTTATGGAAGGGATTGGAGGACCATCATGTCTTGATTGTGGCAATTGTCAGTGTCACCTCAGGGGAGCAGTACACACTAAACAGCTACCTGGGGGTCGGCCCTAGAGCTCAGCAAGTGGTGGTTACCTTGCCATATAGCACTGCTGGCATACAGATGTGGGAATGCAGAGCATGTTAAGGGGAAACCCATGGCTGAGCCTGAGCTAAGCGTGTAGTGAAGAAAAGCCATCAGCTGAGTAGTGTTCTCTAGCAAGGCCTATGCTAGTGTCAGAACAAGAGCGGACACTGTTGCTCTGGTCTCCGAATTTCCTAAGATTGCCAACTATTTCCATGACACAAACCCAGAGGATCTCTGGACAAATGTCATGGCTGACTCCTGTACTCAAAGGAATTAATGAAATGGCTCTGGCCAGACTCTTAGAATTCTTTCCATCTAAACAGTTCTGCCGTTTATTTTCTTGCAAAAGAAGTGTCTGGAAAAGTACAATCCAAGGTTTTTGAGTTGTTGACTTGAGTCCAGCTCCCTTCCATCATCCTTGGAAATAGCTGCAGTACAGCCAGCTGCAGCTGCCAGAACCTAGAGAGATTTAAGCTAGTGAGGAGATGGATATGGGAATAAGGATGCAGCCCCTTTTCCACACTGGAGCCAGGGCCAGCTCCAGGGTTTTGGCCGCCCCACACAGCCAAAAAAATAAAAAAAATAAAAATAAAAAGCAGCGATCGCGCTCTGTGGCGGCAATTCGGCAGAAGATCCTTCGCTCCGAGCGGGAGTGACGGACCGTCCGCCGAATTGCTGGACCTGCCGCCCCTCTCCGGAGTGGCCGCCCCAAGCACCTGCTTGGCAAGCTGGGGCCTGGAGCCAGCCCTGACTGGAGCACAAGCCAGGCAGGTTAAAGCTAGAGACTAGGGAAGCAGTTTGGAGTAATTAACTCAAATTTTGCCCCCATATCAGATGCAAATTTTCCACACAAAATCCGAACTAAATCTGTGCCCAAAACTTGAGCTGACCCCAAAACCTCAAGTCTGACCCCAAACTAGTCCCCCAAAAATCAAAGCCAAGGCTCCAGAAAGCTTGGCAAACATTTTTATTGTTCCCTCCCACACAGAAGTTTCTGCTACCTCTACTTCCTGGCTGGACATTGAAGTACAATAGTTTGCTCCCACCAATTTCCACGTTGGCTGGAATCAGGAAGCACCTGAGATTCCATTGGAAGGCCTGTTATCATGCTAGTCCTCTTTTCTGATCAAAGGCACTTGACTCAGGCTAAAAGTGTCTGGGCTGTCAGATGCTTCTCTTGCCCAAGGGGAAATCTCAGGGCTGTTCAATGTTCATTCAGTGATGGATGAAATGAGGCAGGGAGAGAAAGCAAGAGACTGAATGAGAAAGTCGAGACTCAGGGTTGTGGCTGGCTCGTGAAGAGCAACCACACATGGACTGGCTCAGTGTGAAGTGTCCCATGTTACTGGGGCTAAAGCCTGAATCTTCACTTGACTTCTCCCTGAAACCTTCCCTCATAGTACTTGTCTGACAAGGCCAAACTGCCTCCTGGAAGGAAGAATGAGGCCATGGCTTATTGAGGATGGGCTGGATGCCAGAATCATTGGTACTGACTAATTAATGGCTGTTAACATTAATGTTAAGTGCCTAATTCCAGCTCTCCAAAGCAAAAGGAATCCAGAGTTGTGGTTTCCGCTCTGGGCCCCATTGCCCTTAGGATATGGCTGGGAATAGCAGAGAAAAGGGTGAGGCAGAGCCCTATGGCCCAGCCTCTGAAACGGAGTATTGCTCTCCTCTGCAGAAGCAGAGTTGCACATTTAGCTGCAGGGCTGGAATATTCATCTCCTTCAATGTTTCCTGGGGTGGGGGTGGGGGGGAGAAAAGTGGGGAAACTTGCTAAGAGACTAAACCTGCCACAAGGAGAGGAATTGATCCTAAGTAGCAGCATCCCCTGGCTTCCAAACTGGGGCTCATTGGTTGTAGTGGGGGAAGGGATACATGGCTTGGGAGATTAACGCCATACAGCATCTCACCATACCACACTAGGGATATATCACAAAGAGAATGCTGATCCTGCCTCCTGCTCTATTCCTCTTTCGGGGCAGAGGCTTCTGGTTTGTATTTTTTTTTTTTTTTAAATAAAGTGAGGGAGGATATTTGTCACCACGTTGCCTCCAGGGGGTAACGGA